TCGGAAAAGACCACATACGTCGAAGGTTTTTTGTTGCCGTCGGAAAAAGTAGAAGTCCGACTCCTATTAAGATAGGAATTGGAAGTGAGATGAAAAGTATGATCCATGAATATTGATACATATATTCCATAAAAAAAGTATATTTAATTCCTAATTAATTTTTCTGATTCACTAGCTCTTATCTCTTTTCAAAAGGATCAGTATTTTTCTGAATACACTATTATTGAAGTATGTTGTTTTCTGTACATAAAATATTCAGCCAAAGCAACTCTTGTATAAGGGGCAAGGTATTGTAATGTAGCCGGAGAATCCGTCGTTTCGGCTACTATAATAGTGTATTCCATTGCCCCCCTTTCCTATAAAGTAGTCACTACTTGAGCCACAGAAGATGCTTTTTGACCAATAGCTACTATGAATTCAACAACAAATTTATTGAATAAAACTTTATTGAATATTCATTTGTTTTTACACAAAATACAAACTACGAGTTTAGGGCAACACACCCAACAGGCAATCCATGGCTCGGGCATCTTCTCAGTAATTCCTTAAAACGCTCCCAAGCTTCTTGAACTGCTTCGTTCTTGGTCAACGTGTGGCACTTTGCCAAAAATTTCTCCGTCAGTCTGCCCAAGTGTTGATAGAATTTGGTTCTAGTATGTTTAGCCAAGTCCTTGCACCATCCCTGAGCAGAAAAGGAAACATTTTTAATCTTAGTACATCCTCAGAGACACCAGGAAGTTGAAATGCATTAGCTATTTCAATAAAGAATTTGAGATGGGAGTAAGGATCTACGTTAGTCAATCCTCCGAACTGGCCGATCGTCTGTAACATTTGGAACATGACTGGCTTGAGCTTGAACTGTGCGACTTGGGGTACAGGATTATTTATCCCTGAATTTAGGTTGTGGAACGCATGAGTGACATAATTTCGCATGGGTACATCTCGGTTGTCTGTTAGAAGGATCAGATTGGGAATTTCTCGTGCTCAGTTTGCTGCTCCTTCACCTACCATATCTCCATTTATAGGTGGACTTTGTGGCAGTGGAGGATCTTGTGGATTTCTATTCATCTCGATGATCTCTTCTTCAATTTTTACTTCTTTCGCTTTTTTATTTTCACGATCTTTTCTCAACCTCTGCTCACGCCTTATCCTCCCAAGGGTTCTTTCAATCTCTTGATCAAAGGTCAACCACCCAGACCCTGTGCTCATACACAACTCCCTTAAAGGTTAGATATAACAAAAAGTCCAATGACAAAGGTATGCAACAATCACACATGAAACAATTCACTTGAAAAGAATATGATTTGAAAACTTAAGTCCCCGACAACGGCGCCAAAAACTTGTTGGGACTTTCTCTACCTTTAAAAAAGATTAGAAACTCGTGCAAGTGCACACGGTCACAAGTAATACTCGGAAGTAATCCAAGGTCTAATCCTCAGGGACTTGTTGCTTTTCAAAATCAAGTAATGCAATTGTGATTTAGGAAGAAAAATGTGATGAAATGTTGTTGTTTGGGGTTTTAACTAACAAGCAATTTAATGAAACTCAACCTCCTTGTCTCCTACCTTAGTTTTGATACAAAACATGGAAAACACACTATGTTGGGAAAATGCATCAGGCGCAATTCCTTACCTTTCTTGGGATTTGAGTTTTACTCTTTCACTACCACTTTTGGTTACTGTAGAGACTAGGGTAACCTACAATCATATTCCTATGTGTGATTACAATCCTAGAAAATGTCTACCAACTCTGCATTATGGGTCAGAGGGCCTATGTCTGGGACCATGTTTTATGTACTTATTCCTAAGTCACATCTCATATTAGTTTCGTATTATTTTACCTAACTCACCTTTCCCAAGGTTGGGCTTTAGTGTATAAATCAAGTTCCCACTGGCCAAATGGAAATAGACGTAAAGAGAAGTTTTTAGAAACCAGCCCAAAAAAGTGTCAGGCTCAATCTGGCCAAAATCCCGAGCGTGTTGAAAATTAAATCATTTGACTAAGGCATTCCACAAGGAGGTTGATAACTAATTTAGAACATAATTAAATGAAAGTAAATCCACGAAAACATAAAGAAAGTATTTTTCATTGAATTTAAATGAACAAATAAGCTGTACAAGGAGTTCTAGCTTGACCATCTTCTCTCTCGAGCGTGAGGGGAGTTGAAACCCGCTAAAGAACTTTAAAATAATAGAATGAACAAATAACGGAAGTAAGAACTCGAATAAAAGCAATACGAAAGTTAAAAGCGTGAAAAACGAAGAAATGAACAATTAGAACATGAACATAAACCCTAAAAACATGTTCTACAACTAGAGACCGTCTAAAAGAAGATGAAATGAAGCTTGGAAGGGATGGAATTCTGATGGATGGATGACTCCCTTTTATAGCACCATAGGTTGGTTGAAACTCCCCTCCATTTTAAGTGGAAAAAGGGTTGAGATTCACCTAACCACCTCACTTAGACTTGGACTTACGGTTTTGAACATGTGGGAAATGTCCTCCTTGCCCTTCATTAATCAAAACGTGCGTTTTGACAATTTGTCCTCCAAAAATGCGCGAGCAACCTTGCAGAAACAGAATTATGTTATTTTCTTCCAACTTTAACCGCATTTATCTCATATTTTTCCTAAAGTACCATAGTTTGACTTTTATGCAGAAATAATCTATGCATGTTCTACTGTAAGAATATGTGGTTCTTTTGGCAAATAATAATGGGAAAGGGGTAAAAAACGTGTTCAAACAGGGCACCGACACATATTTATGCAGTAAAAAGTCAACTCTAACAATAACCGACAAGTATAATACATGCATTATGTCCAGATATCATTCCATAACACTAAGCTACAACAAGCCAATACATATTATCAAACTAGGAATAACCATAAAGTGTCATCCAACATATCCCAGAAAATCAACAAACCAATCACACTAAGAAAACATAAGATCCAACAGTGGATGCCTCACAACATCCTAGCTAATCACAACTAATCTAGCTTAGCAACCACAGTCAACAATTAAGAAAACCAAGTCCAACATTGACAAATATAATAGTATCATTTTCAGAGTCACGCACAATAAGACACAAAGCCTGCATCGATTAATAAAACACATACAAGTTGAGAATAATGAAAAACAATAACTCAAAGACTTATTCGATAACATCAACACACAATCACTCACGCACCCGCCGCTGGTACTACTTACCCACTGCCACGCTCCTAAATCTTGCATCGATTGAACACCTATGCATAAAGAGATAAAAGACAACCAATTAACACCAACTTTCCATTATAAAAAACAATTCTAAGGAGGTTCAAAGGTTCCATTACCACGAAATTGACATCTATTGGGAGTGGGTAGCTTAGATCTAGTTTGAATAGGTGTAGGTAGCGCGAATCGGGGCTAGAATGGAAGTGAGTAAACGCGGAACACCAAGGACTATGTTTTTTTTCTTTCGACATTTTTACAGCAGCAAAACACAAGGAAAACGCCTCGACAGCCACTGTCGTCGCCACAAGGGTGTGGATCTCCCAAATTAACTTGTTAAGGGTCATTGGTTGTCACCGAAAAATCGAGAGAGCAGCAAAACACTGCCGCCAGTCGTACTCCACCACAAACCACCACAAAAACTGTAGTAGAAAGGTGTCGACCGTCCCGTTATGTCGTTGTTGATGGAAAAAATACATACATGCGCAGCGGAAGTGAGCAAGAATCGAAATAACAATCTAGAT